TGAGGAACTGTATTAAGGGGTCGCAGCATTAGGAAGGTTGAGAACCGCTGCTCTAAAAGATATTTTTGTGGGCTCCTTTTGTAAAGAATACCCAGTGGGCATTTACCTTGTCTTTTACCCTAGGTCTCAGGATCACTGACACTGACAAGAAAAGGTAGAAGGTGCTCTTTGAGACCGTGGACCACTGCTTACCTAATTACCACCATCCCTTATGAACAGATTCTGAGCACATGTAGTATGGAGCAGGAGATGGGCAGGAATTTCTCACCCTATCCCACTTGGGTCCCGTGCCATCACGATATATAGATCTTGTTAGATACATTGGTCTCTATCTATGACTCCATACATCCTGGTGTCATACACACACTCTTCTTGTAATAATTATTGATTTAATAGGCAGTTCTTGTCCCACTACCCCCTTCCCCATGAATGTCTATCCCTATGAAGGTTCTAGAAGTCACTTGCGCCCGGATTGTGTATGTGCACAGAAATACTGCATGAAGTATGTGTTATGAGGAACTAATTTCCAATTCCCTATTTACTCCTGTGCCTTCCAAATCGCTAATTTCTGAATGAATCATGAGGGAAAACTGTGTCCTTTTCAGGTGAATTCTGTAGTCTCTTTGAACATCTCTTGGTGTCATTCCTTCCTTTCCCCTTACCTGTTTTGATTCTTAACCTTTGGAGCCTAGTCGGCTCAACCTGCATTCTTACTGTGTGCCTTCAGATTCGACAATTCCAGGCTCTTAACACGAGCCAGATTTCTCAAACTCCATTTTGAACGGTCACTTCTCTGTAGAACCTGCAATGCCTTTATTTCTCTTGTGCCTTACCAACCAAAGTACCCAGATCTGGTAGCCAAATTGTTATAAATTTGTTTTTGTATTAGTAGGAGATTCTGAGGTTTGATCACGTCTCCCCATCTTACTGGGAGCTCCATGAGAGCCGGTGTCGTGTTTCCTAGCACTCATTCACCGCAGCAACTAGCTACAGACAGCCCTCACTCTTTGGTTTTTGCCTACCCAGAGTTTTAACCTGATCCCTTGGCCTCGTCCTGCTTCTCTAGCCTCAGTAATTTTGCACAAGTCCCTAGAGCCTGCCCCGCCCCCGCCCCCGCACGCGCGGTGCATGCTGGTCTTAGCCCCTCTGTAGGGAAAGAGGGTCCGCCATGTTCCCCGGCGGCGCCGCCGCTTGGCTCTGGTAGCCGCCGCCCCCGCCCCCAACCCCGCCCGGCCCAGCGCCTAGCCGAGCCCCGGGCCCAGCATGGCCGCCCCGGAGCCGGCCCGGGCTNAAGACCATCGGAAAACAAAAAGATATTTACATTATGATTCATAACAGTAGCAAAATTACAGTTATAGAGTAGCAACGAAAATAATTTTATGGTTGGGGGGTCACCACAATATGAGGAACTGTATTAAGGGGTCGCGGCATTAGGAAGGTTGAGAACCACTGTTCTAGACTAAGGGTCTAGACCAGAGTTCTCAGAATCTAACTACCCATGAAAAATGAACTGTTTCAGTCATGATAGGATAAGCTTTTAAGTGACCGAGGGGAGTTAATACCCAGTCTTTAGGATCCCCCAAAACAGAAGGCGTCATCTCTATTAGCTGGTTTTCTCTCCTTCTATCCCCTAAGTCTCAGTTGGATGATCTAGGACAGGGGTCGGCAAACTTTTGAGATGGAAGAGCTGCCAGGGGTCAGCAAACTGTGGCTCTCAAGTAAAATGGAAAATGAAAATAAAACTATCATAGTTTCATTTATAAAATTTTTAAAGGATATTATTCACATAATGGTGATTATGTAAAAATATATTTACGGCTCTTGAATAATTTTTAAATTGTTGTGAGGGACAGGATTGGCTCTTCCAGGGGTTGGCAAACTTTAGAGAGAGAATGTACCCAAAGAGCTGGATGTGGCTTGCAAGCCACAGTTTGCTGACCCCTGGTCTAGGAGGACAAGGAGTAAATGGGAGATGTGGAAAGACCCTGTACATGGAATACCCATGCCATGTATACAGATCCAGACAGTCCTGGGGAAGGCGGGCAGCATCTTTCTGGGTTTCTCCATAGGAAGATTTGCTGCTTTTCCTCTTCATGTGCTGAATCTACAGTTTAAGGCAGTGATTCTCACTGGGAAAGGGGAGGTGCTACTGGCATCTGGTTGGTAGAGGCCAGGGATGCTGTTAAACATTCTGCAATGCACAGGGCAGTTTCCCTGCACCGCCTCACCTCCCAAACAAAGAATTATCAGTCCAAAATATCAGTAGTGCCAAGGTTGAGAAACCTTGGCTTATGGATATAAATGCCCCAAGGCAGGGGATGGTTGTGGTTCTAGAACAGAAGATAGAGTAGTATTGAGGATATTTGTGTCCAAATTTGAGGGAGCTTTGGGTAGGCAGAACTTCTGGGCAGATGGACTTTGTATTACTCTGTGGAGCAGCCAGGTAGCCGGCTTCCTTTGTTAGGGGCATCTGGTCATGCAGGCAGCACCATTGCAGCCTGTTCTGCACCAAATGCTACAGTGAATATGGGAGATAGAAGGCAGCTCTCTACTCTAAAAGAGCTCAGTGTTTAAATAACCATAATATGCATATTTATATACATATAAGTATATAGTGCAGACATTGATGAGATATAAAATAAAGAATGGAAAGTATTTTTTTTTCTTTAAGATTTTATTGGGGAATTGGGGGAGGGGAACAGTGTTGGGGAATTGGGGAAGGGGAACAGACAAGTTGCTCTCCTTTTTTGTTCTTCAGTCTAGTTGTGGAGGACGTCACTTCACTGGCCCATGTTGGTATTATCATTGCGCTCTTCCCGGGTGAGGCAGATCGGTCGCCGGCCACTGGACGGCTGCTCATGGTGGCTCACGGCAGCTCACGCCAGCTGCTGGCCACTCACAGTAGCTTACGGCAGCCCATTGCGGCCCCACTGCAGCCTACACCATCGCCGGCGACTCATGGCAGCCTAGCTCCAGGTTGAGATGTTGTTCACCATCTTAGCTGTAGAGGGCGCAGCGTCACTGGCCCTAATGTGGGATCTGAACCGGGACCCTGCTGCTCAGGGCTGGCGTCCCAAGCCAACTCTTAACCAACGTGCCACTTGGGCAGCCTGAAAGTATTTTTTCAAAGTGATCTTTGAAAAGTTATTTTGTTTGTTTTAGGTAAAAGGGGATACATATATAGTAAAGGCATTTCACATTGTATATGTGGAGGAGTGGTATGAACAAAAGCAGAGAACTCAGAGAATGAGGAAGAATGTAAGCAAAGACAGCTTAACTGGAGTGAAGGTACCATGTTAAGAAAATGAGTGATGGTTTGGAGTGGTGACTATAGGAGGTGTCATAATGAGAGTAAATATTTGTAATATTAGAAAGCCGTGTGTGTGTGTGCTGGAGGAAGGATTATAGTGGAGTGAGGTAGAAGTATGGCAGCATCCAAGAGGCTGTTTCATTTGCCCAGGCTGGAGGTACGAAACTTGATTTTGATGTATATTAAGATTTTTTTAAAAATTTCTTTTTAGTGAAATTAAAAGCAAAGCCAGTCTCCTTCTCTCCCTCTTGTGCATGCTCTTGGAGGGGTGGGGAGTTGGGTGGAACAGCCAGAAATGGTCCTCTGGGAAGGAGAAGGGTTTACTAAAGATGCTCAGTCTTTGGGTTTCTTTTCTCTTCCCAGGAACTTCAAGGAGTGTCCAGCAGTTTCTGGCTATGTGTGACAGGGGTGAAACTTCCCAAGGGGTCAACTACGCAGGAAGGACTTTGAACTACCGGAGTCTTCCCCAACGTTCCAGATCAGATGCCTCCTGGGGACCATGGTCAGAGACCAAGCAGCATACTGGCTCCAGATTCCTGACTACTCGAGGGTGCACGTTTCAGCTAACTCACACTGCCATGCTACCAGAAAGACACCAGGGCATTCAGGTTCCTCATGCTCAGTCCTGGGGGGATCTTTTCCATTTACCCTCCCACCCTCCCATTGTTCACCCTGTGTCCCCACCATCAAGCAGTCTTCATGTACCCCTGAGGTCAGCTTGGAATTCGGGTCCTGGTCCAGGGTCTCGAGCCCCTGGTCCTCGAAGAGTAGATATGCCCCCAGATGATGACTGGAGGCAAAATAGTTATGCCCCACAATCTGCGCACAGGAGGACAGGGGGACAGGAGTTGCGGTTTGTTGTAGCGGATGCCCCTGCAAGAAAGATCAGCGCTAGAGCCCTGCAGCAGAGCAGGTGGTGAGGGTCACCCTTGCCCCTTCCTGGAGCCACAGTTTTCTCTATTAAACTGGACTGTGGCAGAGTCGGTACCCTGCATCCCTGCCAGGGTTGTGCGAGTCTCATCTCACAAGGGGTGCCAAGAACCTCTAACATGATGTGGCTCTTTGAGAAGGATTGTATGAAATTCCAATATCCATTCAACCTAGCAAAAGGAAGCAGCTGCTGTTTAGGGCTTTCTTTGAGCCACTTTAAAGATGAATCCATATTACTCTGGACACTAGCCATTCCTTAGGATCTTAGGGTCACCATTTTATTCCTGGATACTTTATGCCCCCCATCTGCACCTGAGCCCTCATCCTGTGTTCCCTACTATGTTACCAACTTCTGTTCTTTGTTTTATCCCTATCCTATCCCTATTACCTGATCTCCTGTTTTTCCCCAATCCCCTGTTCTTGGATGGACAGGAAGCCCTGAGGTCCTGGTCCTGACCACATCATTCAGGGCAGCCCACCTGCCCAGGTATTATGGACTGTCAGCCTTCCCTGTGCCCCCAAACCTTAGGTCTAGAATACAGAGCTGCCAACATAACATTTGCCCTCTGAACAGATGGAGTCAGGCACACTAACAACCCCACCCCGTCTCAGCAGCAGAGCCATTACTGTCACTTGCTCAGTCGCCATTGTAAACCCTCAGAGTCAGCTGAACTATTTTAGGGCCAAACATACTGTTTTTGTAAAGTATTTTTCATTAATAAATCTATAAGATAGTTCTATTTAATTCCTTGCCATTTAATTGTTTATTTAATCCCTTTTGCATGCTCTTGCTCTTTTGTATTCTGGTGTGCAGGCCTGGATAAGAAAGAAATACCAATTTTCAGTGGCTTGGGGCTCCCAAAGAGTGAATCATGGCACGAACAAATGTGAGACTGTGTGTGTGAACATAAATGAATGTGTGTGTGTGTGTGTGTGTGTGTGTGTGTGTGTGTCTGGCTTTTGACTAAAAGTGAGGAGCCAAAGAATTGAAGGATAGTTGAAGAATATATACTGAAGGTAGGAGTCAATGTGCACTAAAATGGAGTGACTTCCCTTGTTATTGCTGCTATATTTCCTACCCCTTTCCTGCAGAGAGGCCCTAAATATTTTACACACTTTCTCCTTCCCTCCTTAGGGAGATTTTCTGGGGATTCAGACTCTTACAGACTCTTGATCTATGCACTCATGGTGCCCTCCCTCTACAAGTTTGTGATGTGCCTGCTATCCCTTGCTCGCTTCCCATGGCTGTGTTTTCTCTTCCCTTCCCCTGTGGAATTATTGCACTTCTATGCCAGAAAAATCCATTTCCACCCCTGCTCCACTTCCAAATTCTCCTTCCTCTAAAACAGCGGTTCTCAACCTGTGGGTCACGACCTCTTTGGGGGTCAAACGACCCTTTCACAGGGGTCGCCTAAGACCATCGGAAAACAAAAAGATATTTACATTACGATTCATAACAGTAGCAAAATTACAGTTATAGAGTA